CCAGGTCCTCAACCATCTGGAATAACGGGTCCTGGCTGTGTACAGTCTCCTATGGCACGATCATATAATGGCGACGTTGGCGTGAATATTGACGACAGTTGTCTAATAAAGCCGACCACGAATGTTCCACTCCTGTTGTCCCAGGGACTTCAGCTTCAGCTTCCCGTGTCGTGGCTTGGTCTATGTAGTGCGGATTCCTGTGGATTCCTTATCGGGGATGCCGACGCCGGCAGCTTCGGACCCTGTTTCTGTCGGCCCAGTGGTGCCGACTCTTCTGGGGTTCTCAAACAACGATGCCGCTGGTGTGTCTAATCGTGGAGGTGTTCGTGCGCGGAGTGGACTGGATCCAGTGTATTTGTATGAGGCACAAGCTGGCTTGCAAAGTGCTGAGTTTTTGACTCGGTTACCTTCAACACCTATCTGTTCGAATGTACATTTGAACAGATCCATCAAACTTAGGAATCCAGTCATGAAAAGGCATCGATCAACAAAATTTTTCCAAAGATTGAATCAAGCTAAAGTTGTCTGGGATGCACGATGTAAAGTGAAAGGATTGTTTGGCAGACATTTAAACATCCGGAGTATGACTCCTAAACGCGAACAACTTGAATATTTACTCTGTAATTCCAATATTGACTTTTTAGGATTATCAGAAACTTGGTTGAATCGTTCCTCCTCAGTGTCAGTAGTAAATATGCCTGGATATGTTTTTAGAAAAGATCGGGATCAGGGGAAGGGTGGAGGGGTTTTATTGTATTTGAAAAGCATTTTCAAATGCAAACAAATTGAATGGCCAAGTGAATTTGGTCTTTTATTTTAATCTGTATGTATCGTAAACCCTCAGCAAAGTTGGATTTTTATGACCAATTGAAACAACTCCTTAACCATTGCGATCTGAATAAGGAAGTAATTATCATGGGATATTTTTATATCAATTGGAATGAAAGGAAGGAAAGAAAAAATTTGATTATTTTAATTTTACACAACTGATAGAACAGCATACTAGAATAACCCCTCGTTCTAAAACTAGAATAGATTTATTGTTTACAAATAAACCTGAAAGAATTTTAAAGCATTATAATTTTTTGACAGGATCATAATGACATTTTCTTTTCAAGAAAACTTACAAAACAACGCTTTTTAAATTCATTTAAAAAGCCTGTTTATCAGGATATAGTCCCTAAAAATCAGCAACAAAATCTTGGAATAGCTTTGAAAGAGATAGATTGGAGTGAAGTCCTCCTAAGTGGGGACATAGAGGGAGGATGTAATTATTTTTGGGGAAAAATTAAAGAAGTGTTTGAGTTGTTTACTAGAAGGGGACGGTTAACAAAAAGAAAAGGGAATACACTGCCCTGGGTTAACAATGAATGTAGGAAATTGATGAAGGATAGAGACCAGCTCCTTAAAAAAATCATTGAATTCTGGTCTTATTACTGATTGTTATAAATATACTTCTATGAGGAATAAAGTAATCCAGACTTTACGAAAGACCAAAGCCAGTTTTTTTATGGATATAATTGAGGGATCGAAAGGGGATGGGAAACAAATCTGGCAAACTATTAATAAACTTGTTGGAAAACAAAAGAATATGGATAAAAGTTTTGAACTTAAAATTAATAATATTTTAGTAAAAGATCCATTAACTATACCTACTAATTTTAATACATATATTTTTTAGTTCAGTTGATGAAATAACCCAGCTTTTTACCTTAAAAGATATTACGTATAGACCTATTAATTGTGCCCAACATATTTTTCAAATAGAGGAAGTAACTGAATTAGAAGTAGCTAATATTATTGACGCATTAAAAAGCTCTAAAGCAAAGGATGCCTATGGGCTTGATACAATTTTTGTATATATATATATATATATATATATAATAAAGATTCCTTAGTAGGCCCAATAACACATATGGTAAATTTGTCCTTTAGGCAAGCAGTTGTTCCATCAGCTTGGAAGAAGGCTGTAGTTACCCCAATTTATAAATCTGGAGATAAAACTAATTTGAGTAACTAGGCCAATTAGTATCCTTCCGATTATATCTTAGGTAGCAGAAAAATGGGTAGCTAAGCTTCGGACTAATCATCTAAATAATGGTTTTACTTATTTACATCCAATGCAATTTGGTTTTCGCAGTAATTATTCAACAGAATCAGCTAATTGTCTGTTTGGTGAGAAAGTCAACATCAGCCTGGAAGGTAGCTGCAGTTACCCCAATTTATAAATCTGGAGATAAAACTAATTTGAGTAACTATAGGCCAATTAGTATCCTTCCGATTATATCTAAGGTAGCAGAAAAATGGGTAGCTTAGCTTCTGACTAATCATCTAAATTATGGTTTTACTTCTTTACATCCAATGCAATTTAGTTTTCGCAGTAATTATTCAACAGAATCAGCTAATTGTCTGTTTGGTGAGAAAGTCAAATGCTTGTTAGATAAGACTATGTGTGTTGGTGCTGTCGTCTTATATTTAAGAAAGTCATTTAACACTGTTGACCATCAGGTTCTTTTATCTAAACTAACAAATGTAAATTTTTCGGAAGAGGCTATACTTTGGATAAAATCGTATCTTTCACATAGAAACAATGGGTGTGTATTGATGGTACAAAGTCTTCATACCTTGCTTGCCCCAAGGGGGTTCAACAAGGCTCCATCTTGGGACCAATTTTATTTTCACTTTATATTAATGATTTACCTGGAGTATGTAAAGATGTAAATGTTCAGTTGTATGCAGATGATGTAGTAATTTTTACCCATGCTAATAACTTTGATTACTTTGACTTCTGCAGTGACCAAAGTTCAGGAATGGCTTACCAAATCAGGTTTATTATTGAACATAAAAAAAACTGTGTGTATGATGTTTGCAAAACAACCAGTAGAGATGACACATTCTAAGTTATTCCTGAGAGGGGAGGAGCTTGAAATTGTTAAAGAGTTTACATACCTTGGGGTGACTTTGGATTCTGCTTTAACTTTTAAAAGTCATGTGAAAAAGTTGTCTAATATTGTAAAGTTTAATTTAAAGAATTTTAAGTATATTAGGTCATTTTTGACAGTCGGTGCTGCTAGGTTGTATTTATACTCAATTATTTTTTTCTCATATTGAATATTGTTTTAATAGTTGGTCATTTATAAGTGGCACAACTCTAAAGACAATAGAATCATTGTGTAAGAAGGCGATAAAAGTGTTAGATAAAAAAAACCTGTCATTTCATTACTGTAATATTCTAAAAAAAAACAATCTATTGAGTTTTGAAAATGTTAAATTTTTTAAATATGCATGTTTTATTTATAAGGTCTTGAATGGGCTTGCTCCCCCTCCGTTTATTGAATTTATAAAACCGAGGACAGATTGTAGTATTGGGTACTATGTCTATTATTAGAGAGGACTGTGAGGTGCCATATAGGCGAACATCTTTTGGACAGAAAGTTTTATCTGTAATTGGGAGTAAATATTGGAATAGCTTACCGCAGTCAATGAAACAATGTTCTACTTATCATACCTTTAAAGATCATTTCAAAAACTGGCTTATGACGAATCAGTTGTGTAAACATTTTACTTAGAAATTTTAAAATGTCTTTTATGTGCTGTTGTATGTATTTTTGAGTCTGTGTCCTTGTGTGTACCTGCCTAGGGACTGTGGAAGTAAATTAGCAATGTTGCTATAATCCGGTTTATTTACATTCTGTATTACTACAAATGTTCATTAACATGCATCGTCCCTATCAAATAAATAAACAATAACAATAACAATGTGATCAAATTAGATGTGTCCTATTAAAACCAGGCATCTGTACCTGACCAACGTCTCGTTTCTATTTCTGACACTTTGCAGCTTTCATTCCACACGGATGTGGAAATTAATTATAATTACGAATATCCTGTGATATTTTTCCCCCATAAATTGCATGTTGCATATTTAAATATCTTCTGAAAGCTTGCAACATTTCCGTTCAACATTACATAATTTCACCAATTGACAAAAGAAAAGTAATTTTTTTGAAAATAAAGCTAAAAAATTAAACTCTTGCTGGTTTAGTCTCATGATGATGATGCTTCATTTGAACATTTCCTGAGCGCTGTGTTTGCTTCGACTGAATTATTATTAATAATTTGATTAGTGACTGATGACCTGACGTGATTCACGGCACTTCAGCTTGACATTAACATCAGCTTCAAAGACTTTCTCTCGTCATGAGCACCTCTTCACCTGCTCAGATTTTTACAGCACTGCTTTCTGTTCCTACACGGTTACCATAGCGATGAACGTCAAGCTCCAGACGTCCTGCGCGGTTACAGTCTGCAGTATTGTGTATTTGAACGCGCACTCGTTAGGGTTCAGGACATTTAACCATCTTTAATCAGAGTTTGTGAGGAAACATCGCTTCTGTTTATCACTACAACACCCGCCGTGTGTTTCACTGTGTGTGTGCGCGTGTGCGTACGTCCGTGCGTGTGTGTGTGTGTGTGTGTGTGTGTGTTCGAATATGAATGTGTCGTGTGACATTGACAGAATCTCATCAGAACTGTGAAATCACTATCAGCACACACACTGATAAACAGATTCACGGCTCCAGACTGACATGAACGGAGAGTCCAATCTTAGTCCGAATGACAGAATTCATGCTTATTTCATCCCAGTCTGGATCCGATGCTGTCGTGTTCTGTCTGTCATCTCATTCGGACTGTGTGTGTGTGTGTATGTGTTGATGCTCTGTGTTTTACTGCTGCCTGATCTCTGATGCTGTGATCTTCCTTATTGCTCTCTTTTCTTTTCTTCCTGATGTCTTCTGTTTGTGTGTTTTCTTTCCTTATCTTCTCATTCCATCGCTCACGCTCCTCTTGTTCTGTTGTGTTTGCCCCTCCCCCTCACATGCCCCCGCCCCCCCCTCCCTCTTGCCCCCCCTCCCCGGTCACAGAGGCCACACCCACCACCCCGCCCCCCCAGCTGCCCCGCACTTCCTCTTTGACTTACTCCTCTCCTCCCCCACCAGTGACCCCGAGCTCAGGCGTCCTCCCCTCTGCTCCCCGTGACGTGGCCCCCGTCCTCGTGTCCAGCCACTTCGTGCGCCTCAGCTGGCGGCCCCCGGAGGAGACGCGCGGGACCATCCTGACCTACGGCGTCTTCTTCTCCGAGGAGGGAATCAACAGGTACGTGTTCACCTGTGGCCGAAACTATATCAGCCTTACATGTTTCAACCAATCACATCCTAATCCATGCCGCGTTATGAATATTCAGTTGTAAACGCATCAAATGTGTAGTAGAAATTGCACTACACCCTAACCCTAGTTTTTTAGAAATTGTTGTCAGCCTCAGACTCATTATACCTCACGTTACTTTATCATGACATTTTTTATGCTAACATTAGTTTACTACATTACATGAGCTGCCAATGAATCATAGATCTACAGTAGTTGTTCTTTTTTATTAAATAATAAAACAATAATATATTTAAATATATTATTAACAGTTTTTGCTTTTTGCATTTGACTTACATGTGTGTGTATATAAGATTCAATAATAATATATTAATTAATAAAAAATAATATATTAATTTTAATATATTATTAACATTATATTGTTTTTATATTTCACATGTGTGTTGTGTAAGATTAAAAAAAGAATACATTAATTAATAAAAAATAATGTATTCATTTTATTATATTATTAGCAAGATATTGTTTGTTATATTTCACATATATGTGTGTGTATAATACTCAAGAATAATATATTAATTAATAAAAATAATATATATTCATTTTAATATATTATTAACAGTGTATTTTTTTTATATTTCACGTGTGTGTATAAGATTAAAAAAATAATATATTAATTAATTTAAAATAATGTATTAATTTTAATACATTATTAACAAGATATAGTTTTTTTATATTTCACACATGTGTTTGTATAATACTCAAGAATAATATATTAATTAAAAAATATATTACTTTTAATATATTTTTAACAGTATGTTGTTTTTATATTTCATGTGTGTGTATAATACTCAAGAATAATATATTAATTAATAAAAAATAATCTATTAATTTTAATACATTATTAACAGGATATTGTTTTTTATATTTCACATATGTGTGTTTGTATAATACTCAAGAATAATATATTAATTAATAAAAATAATATATACATTTTAGTATATTATTAACAGTATATATTTGAACATACTCAAAACAATAGTTTACAGAAAATAAGAATTGATTACAGTTTACATCTTGATATTTTGCAGTTTATATCATGTATGCTAATATATTATTAGTAATATTAATTTTGTATTATATATTGGAACCACTGATCTACTGCATTTATTCATCTTATTTGATTAATTTGCTTTGTTAAAATGAAAAGTCATATCTGTTAACGTTAGTCAGTGCATTGTGAGCTGAAATGAACAGTTGTGTTTCATTAACTAACATTTACAAAGATTAATAAATGCTACAAAAATGTATGCCTTGTTGTTTCATGCTGGTAAATGCATTATCTAATACAAAAAAAAATTCTCTAATGCATTCATGAGCCCAGATCTGATTGTATTTGACTGATTGTTCAAACGGTTTGCAGTCTCTTCATTAATCTGTGTGTGTGTGTGTGTGTGTGTGTGTGTGTGTACTGGTATATATGGTTTATGAGGACACAAATGTGTAAAATGACATGGGTACTATAGCATAAACATGGTTTATGAGGACACTTCCTGTGTCCCCGTAAAACAAAAGGCTTAAAAAACATACAACACGTCCCGGTTACGTATGTAACCCTCGAGAGACCAATCTACTTCGAGTGTAACTAAACGAGCCAATGGACATTGGCATGGGATGATTGCATCCAGCTGCCGCTAGGTAGCAGGTGCAACGCATACCAGGTTTTCGCTGAGGAGCCGAGCCAACCTACCAAAGCGCCATGGATGCTGCCCCTTTCAGTGTCCTGTGTGAGCCTCCTGCGCCCCCTTTTTGGTGTAGGCCGGGGCTCGCAACAAGAAGACCAGTCACTGTTGTCGTAGCACTATCCACTCAGTGAGATTGGATAACACTGGGAAAACGTACCCATTCCACTTGGAACAGGAACGTTTCGGAAGCACCATCCTTCCCGAAGGAGGTTTCGGAAGCACTTTCACATATGAACCAACCGTTTAGGTGCATATGGAAGATTAGAGGTGATTGTAACCCTCTTGGAAATGGCAGAAGTCTGCCAGGGAAACACGGGCTCTGAGGCTATACTGTGGACTTTACACATATGGGATCCACTTAGGTCTAGACTAGAGTCAGGTCCCAAGAGGGTATAGAGGGGGGCAGGGGAGGATTCAACCTTCTCGCCCCCCTAAGAAATCTGATGCTTCCCTACCCTTCCCTACGCTCCAACCCTTGCTGCAAAAGGCTCACTTACTTAGGAAACGCATACCAGTGCCCCCCAGCCAGTGGTGGAGGCATCCGTGTAAACCACAGCATGCCTTGAGACCTGTTCTAAGGGCACTCCTGCCCGAAGAAACGCAAGGTCTGACCACGGGGTGAAGGTTTGGCGGCAGGCCGGTGTGACTTGGACCCGGTGAGTGCCACATCGCCACACCCACCTCGGGACTCTGCCATGGAGCCAGTCTTGAAGCGGTCTCGTATGAAGCAGCCCCAGTGGCGTGACTTCTGCTGCAGCTGTCATATGCCCCAGGAACCTTTGAAACTGTTTCAGTGGGACCGCTGTCCTGCTCTTGAACATATTCAGGCAGTTCAACACCAAACGAGCACGTCCCTGCGTGAGGCATGCTGTCTGTTCGACCGAATCCAATTCCATACCGAGAAAAGAGATCCTCTGCGTCGATTAAAGTTTGCTCTTTTCCCAGTTGACCCGAAGGCCCAATCAGCTGAGGTGTGAGAGCACCAAGTCCCTGTGTTCACACAACTGATCCTGAGCTAGTATGAGCCAGTCGTCGAAGTAGTTGAGAATGTGAATGCCCTGCTCTCTCAGGAGAACAAGGGCTGCCTCCGCAACATTCGTGAAGACACGGGGCGACAGGGACAGCACGGAGGGCAGGACCTTGTACTGATATGCTCGTCCTTTGAACGTGAACCGCAGCAATGGTCTGTGGTGTGGAAAGATCGACACATGAAAGTACGCATCCTTCAGGTCAATCACTGCAAACCAATCTCGGGGACAGATGCACCCGAAGATGTGTTTCTGCGTCAACATCTTGAACGGTAACTGGTGAAGGGCCCAGTTCAAGACACGCAGGTCCAAGATCGGTCATAACCCACCGCCTTTATTGGGTACAATGAAGTAGGGGTTGTAAAACCCCATCTTCATATCGGCTGGAAGGACCGGCTCTAACGCATCCTTCGCCAGTAGGACTGCGATCTCCGCACACAAGACAGGAGCATCAGCCGCCTTCACTGATGTGAAGCGGATGCCGCTGAACTTGGGGGGGACACCGGGCGAACTGAATCGCATAGCCGAGTCTGATGGTTCGCAGGAGCCAGCGAGACGGTTTGAGTAGCCAGGCACCCAGACACCGTACAAGCTAGACCAGCAGGACCACTGACATACCCGCGGTGGGGTAGTGAGGTGAAATGCAGGGACCCGGTCTGTGGGCGGACCGAAGAGGGGTCTGAGTGTGCGGTGCAACATTTACCTGGTTCCACGGTTTGGCAGATGGTGTGTGAGTAGGGCCTTTGATGACGCTCTTGAACCTCCATCTGCTGCCTGCTGGTGAGAGAGGAGGATGAGTGTGGTCCGGTGTTAGTCCGTTCGTGACTCTCCATGCCCTCTTGGGACCCAGAGATAGAGAAAACTGCACTCTTGTCGACATTTTTGGAAACCAGATTCTCCACCTGGCCCTCCTCCAGGGGAGGGAGAGGTGCATTCACCATCCCCCGAAGAGCAGTTCGCTCTCTCTCTGGGTCGCCAGTCCCAGGGCCTCTTGCTCTTCCGCTCACTGCCAGGTTTGAGCGTGGGAGGATGCAGGGGGCCTCCCTCGGCGACGAGCAGGCTGGAGCGCTGCGGATGGGTGGAGGCAGCAGCTGCCTGCTGGGGCAGGACGTGTCGAATCACCTCAGTCTGCTCCTGTTCCGGATTGTGACCATCCTTGTGCAGTTCCCTGAGTGCTTTAGCCTGAAGAACCTTCAGTAACGCTGTAGAATGTAAGGCAGAGGCAGCTTCTCCACAGGCCACATAAGCATCATTGGACAGAGCAGACGAGTACCTACAGACCTGGAGGGGAGGCACGATTTGCCCTGCCGGGTGGAAGCGGTATTATGACACAACTGCATCGCAACCGACCGCTCCACCAGTGGTACCCCCGTATTACCCCTAGCTGCACCACCGTCGAGAGTGGTGAGGGAGGAGGAGTTAGCAGGTCGGTTTCTGGCAGAAGGTGCCATCCACGACCTCGTAAGTCCCTCATGCACCTCTGGGAAGAATGGCACCGGGCCACCCTGAAGAACCAATCGTTCAACCCTGAGGGCTTGGGACACGTTGGAGGTCTCCACTCAAGCCCTACCCTCACGGAAGCCCAGGAAAACATAGCCATCATTTCCGGATCCGATTCAGGCACTGCTACAGTCCCGGAGGGCAGCAGTGCAGCCGAATCTTCCTCTCCAGAAAGCTCCGGCTCACCCTCCGATGCAGCGATCGACATCTGGTCGTCGAGAGGAGCAGCCTGATGCGTGCAACCCACTCGACACGGGAAACCACCACCACTGAAGCGCCGTACCGCCAACACCAAGAGCACCAAAGAGCACGCTGAACTCGTTCAGTCTTCTTCTCTCAGTAGAGTAGTCAGGAGCAAAACGATGAAAAGCTGGTATGTGTTGCACCTGCTACATTTTTATGCTTACGCTGTTATCAGCAGCAGCTGGATGCAATCATCGCATGCCAATGTCCATTTGCTCGTTTAGTTACACTCGAAGTAGATTGGTCTCTCGAAGTGACATCCCAATTCATCTGAAAGGGAACGGTGTTTTATGAAATTCAAAAATTTCCATTCGTTTTCTGTAAGGGGTAGGTTTATATGGGGTTAGATCTCTGCCATAATTCTGCATGCGAAAGATCATATTTTGAGCACACGTAAGTGCATTTTGCACGCGAGTGATCTGAGTTTTGTGGAGAAAATGTTCGTCTCGCAAAGAAAAAAGTATTTTGAGTGCACTAAAATCAATTTTGCATATAAAATACGTTTTTGGATGTGTGCAGACCATAATAATAATTATGCACACCTGAATATAAGACATTTTTTACTTCCAGCCTTCATGAATAATTATTTATCAAATATAAATGATTAAATATAAGATTAATAGTAGTTATTAAGATTGATGTTGTTTGGAATTGGTAAAATGTGCTTGGAAAAAAAATATGATCAGAATATCAACTTGCATAATAATTATGCATGCACTGTATTTTTCCTCGTCTGCTGTCGTGGTAATGCAAGGAATGTTGTCATAGGTTGTCAAAGCAGCCAATCAGAATTTAGCAGCCTCGTCTCTGATTGGCTGGAATTATGCAATATTGTAACGCTGGGTTGTGTTGAGCAAGCGAGCCGTTGGCATTTAGAGAGCACTGAGGGTGGGCATCAGGTGAGCAAGCTAGTGAAACGTTGCATGCGCAAAAGAGAAGGTCTGCACAAATCCAAAAACATATTTTAAATGCAAAATTAATTTTCTTATGCTCGAAATACTTTCTTCTTTGCGAGACAAACATTTTCTCCACAAAACTCAACTCGCGCGTGTGCATAACGCACTTTTGCATGCTCAAAATATGATCTTTCGCGTGCAAAATTGTGGCAGAGATCTAATCCCATAGGTTTAGGTGTAGGGCGATAGAAAATACAGTTTGTACAGTATAAAAACCCTTACCCCTATGGAGAGTCCCTGTAAACCACAAATGCAAGTATGTGTGTGTTTGACAGGGAGCGCAGCCTGAATGTGACGGAGGCCGAGGGTCTGCAGCTGATGGTCAGTAATCTCCGACCGGAGGCCACGTACTCCTTCAGGGTGGTGGCGTATAACGAACAAGGGCCCGGAGAGAGTTCAGAGGCCATCCGACTGTCCACGCAACCTGAGCGTAAGAGTCGCCTCCTCTCAACTTGAAATATACAGCAGAACATCTGATATCTGACATCAGTCACACTGAGAGCAATGGAAGCTAACTGTGTTTGGTGATTGTGATGATGCAGCAGATCTCTGTAAATGTCAGCAGTGTGGTGCAGATGTTTGAAACATCCCATAATGCTCTAGTTTCCTCCTGAAGTCACACAGAGGAGCAGTGTGAGAGATTTCATTATATTATCACACACACAAACACACACACACACACACTCACACACGCGCACTCACGCGCACACACACTCACGCACGCACACACACACACACACGTGCACGCACGCACTCACACGCACACGCACTCACACACACTCACGCACACTCACACGCACACACTCACGCGCGCATACACACTCACGCGCACACACACACACTCACGTGCACACACGCACGCACGCACACACACACACTCACTCACACACACACTCACTCACACACACACGTACACACACACTCTCACACACATTCACGCACACTCACACACACACGCACACACACACACTCACGCACGCACTCACACACACTCACAAGCACGCACACACTCTCATGCGCACACACATACTCACACATACACTCACGCGCACACACACACACACACACACACACACTCACTCACACATACACACACACACTCACAGACACACACACTCACGCGTGCACACACACACTCACGTGCACGCACACATACACACTCACTCACACACACACTCTCACACACTGGAGTTCTTTAACCTTTCTATTGGACAGTGAGTGCTGAGATCGAGCCGTCTGACCTTTTTCATCCAGATTCTGGCTCTTCCTCACAAACAGCCTGAAAGACAAACTTCATCTCTGAAATATGAATATGATGTAAATGTAAAGCTCATCTGCGTACAGACATGTTTCTGTGCGAGCTGCTGATCAGTTATCTCATGTGTTCCAGTGTCTGATCCAGGATTATTATCCTTAACTTGAAACCATAAAAAAATCACCACTCATCAAAACAAAATTAATTTACTAAAAATATAAAAAACATAAACTTAATGTCAGCATTTCTCATTTTTGTTTAGTTTTAGTTGAAGTTCTAAAATAAATAAAAATAAATAAACAGAAACGCTAAAACTTAAAAACTATATAGGCATATTTAAAAGAAAAGAAATATAAAATAAAAATGACAAAAACACCCCAAAAAAATACTAAAACTTGTTATAGTAGTTTTAAAAAGTAAATTAATTTTATTAATGTTTAAATTAGCTTTTTTTTTAATATTTCCCGTTTTTATTTTAATTTTAGTTAGTTTTGTTGGTTTTGTAATTTTTTTTGTCTATTTTTTCCCCCCAAGTTTGTTTGTCTTCAAGCACAAAAGGTGTTCACTGTAACAAAGCATAGATGAACACAATGGATACTAATATCAGCAAAATCAAACGAAATATAAAAGTAGAAATAAACTCTCACTCAAATATTGAAATCAGCACGAACACGACGTTTCTGCAGTGCATTCAGACCCATGAAGAGCCTGTGTTTCTCATGTGTCGACGGTGATGTGATCGTTCATTAGTTCTGGTTCCTGGTCCAGTGGAGAACCTGCGGGCAGCAGCTGCGTCTGCGTCGTCCATCCAGGCGTCCTGGGATCCTCCGACTCACGCCAGCGGCCCGGTCCAGAGCTACCGGCTGCTGTGGACCGAGACCTCCACCGGAAAAGAGCAGGTGAGAGTAACCTGGTTAGTATTAAGACAGAAGTCAGGCCTGTTTCAAAAAGCATGCTGGATTGGTACAGCTGCTGATGGGCGAGTGCTGTGATTGGTCGGTGATGTCTGTAAGGCGGGGCTTACCGAAGGCTCATTAGCGTGTTGTTTTCTGACCGCGGTGTTTCTCCAGAACGTGGAGGTGGTGGGTCAGAGCTATAGGATGGAGGGCCTGAAGAAGTTCACGGAGTATTCGTTACGAGTGCTGGCGGTCAATCGGCACGGTCCCGGCCTCTCCGACACAGACACGCTCATCACCACGCTCTCAGACGGTAAGACTAGTCAACTCTAGTCAACTCTACTGCTAACCAGCCTCTCATTAACCCACACACAGCCATAATCACGAGAGGGAGACTGAGTTTTCTGTGAGCCACAAGTTCGTGAGTTTGGTTTTAAAAGATGAAAAATGAATAGAAATAAAAACACTAGATAGTCGAATTGCAATAGAATATACAACAATTCTTTTACAGCACCTTCATAAATTGATATCTTTATTTATTTTGTAGTTGTAGAGTAACAAAATCTTAAAATATTAATTTTTTTAATGTTTTTTTTTTTTATGAATTAGTTTGCATTTTTATATTTTCTGCTTTGTTTTTGTTATTTTCATTGGCTATATAGTTGTTTTTATTAATTGCATTTCAGTTCTAGTTATTTTAGTGCATCAAGTTAAACTAAATGAAAATAAAAAAATAGCCGAATTACATTTCTTTACATTTTTATGTCAAGTAATGAAAATGTTTTTTTTACGGTTTTAGTTTTAATTTTACTTTACCCAGATTATTTATATACTATTATAGTTTTTTAATGAATATTTTAAATCAGGTTTTTATTTTTATATTTTCCAGTTTAGTTAAAGTTTTGCTGATTTAGTTGTTTCATTTAATAAGTTAACTAAGTTAGAGTTGAGTTAACTTTATTTCAAGGATCAAAAATGTCTTCTAATGTGGGTTTAGTTAACTATAATAACTCTCTACGTTGGCATCTTGCTTGCATCTGACCTCATAATTATGACTTCACAGCTCGTAAATACGAACGTCTCAGAAGGATTTGAGCTCGTCGTGATTCGCTGAAACACATATTCCAGTCCTCTGATTCATGACTGCCATCAGGTCACAGCATTCAGGAGATGTTTCCATAAGCCATCCACTTAATCACACACTAATGATGGCTTTGATGTGGCAGTCATATTCAGGCCGTCACATCTGAAGCGTCAATCAATTTCACGGCGTGTCACTCAACTCTGACAGACTGACACGAGACGTTTGAGACGTTTGAGATTTGTTTGCAGCTCCACTGCGTCTCCATGCAAGAAGCAGCCGGGATCTTCCCTCAAATTCAGTTTGAGTCCCCGGAGAGAGAGAGAGAGAGAAAACACACACATGCCTTCCTGATCAGAAAATGAATATATTTATTCATAGTCACCATCTTGGCTCAATGTGTCACAATGCATTCTGGTACTGGTGCAACAGATTTGTTCAGGAGAAGCTGTGCGCGCTTTCATTTGGATGAAAAAAATATAATAAAATAATAATAATAATAAAATACAATGTTTTAAAAAATTAATAAAATAAAATATATTTTAAAATATTAATAACATAACATAACATAAAATGTTTTTTTTATATATTAATAAAAGAAAATAAAAATAAAATAGTTAAGAAAATTAATAAAAGAAAATATATTGTAAATAACATTAATAACATGGAACATAACCTAAAATAAAATGTTTTAAAAAAATATTAATAATATATAATATAATGTTTTAAAAAAATAATAAAATAAAATATATTTAAAATAAATAACATAACATAAAATGTTTTTTTTTAATATTAATCAAATAAAATATTTTTTAACAATTAATAAAATACAATATATTTTAAAATATGAATAACATATAACATATAATAAAATGTTTTTTAAATATTAATATAATACATATTTTTACAAAATTAATAAAATATATTTAAAATATTAATAACATAAAACATAACATAACATAACATAACATGAAATGTTTTTAAAAATATTAATAAAAATATTTTTACAAAATAATAACATAAAATAAAATATATTTTAAAATATTAATACCATAACATAACATAAAATGTTTTTTTTAATATTAATAAAAGAAAATATTTAAGAAAATAATAAAAGAATATATATTGTAAAACCTTAATAACATGAAACATAATCTAAAATAAATGTTTTTAAAAATATTAATAAAATAAAATATAATGGTTAAATAAATAATAAAATTAAATATATTTTAAAATATTAATAACATAAAACATAACATAACATGAAATGTTTGTAAAATAATACAAATTGTTTTACAAAATAATAAAATAAAATATATTTTAAAATATTAATAACATATAACATAACGTAAAATGTTTTTAAAAATATTAATAAAATAAAATATTTTTAAAAAGCAATAAAATATAATATATTTGAAAATATTAATAACATATCATAACATAAAATGCTTTTTAAAATATTAATAAAATAAAATATTTTTACAAAATTAATAAAATAAAGTATATTTTAAAATATTAATAACATAAAACATAACATAACATGAAATATTTTTACAAATATGAATAAACTAAAATAGTTTTACAAAATAATAAAATAAAATAAAATAAATTTTAAAATATTAATAACATATAACATAACATAAAATGTTTTTTTTAATATTAATAAAATAAAATAAGAAGCTTAATTTGTATGATTTTAAAGGCGTGTTGGTTCATCCCTCGCCACCTGTCTGCAGCCTGAAGGCAAACTGTTTTAGCAGCAGCTCAATGCCGCAGCGGTGTTTGAATGCTAAAGCGGGTTATATTTCCCAGCAGCCCTTCTCATTAGCCGTCTAACATCAGGCTATTGGTTTATGTGTTAACCTCAGGATTGTGTTTGCAGTAATTCTCAAAGATTCAATCACCGGCTCTTATCAGCATCACCCAGCTTGAATTGTTTGAATGAAGCCTGTCGAAAATACAATATATTTTAAAATATGAATAACATATAACATATAATAAAATGTTTTTTAAATATTAATATAATACATATTTTTACAAAATTAATAAAATATATTTAAAATATTAATAACATAAAACATAACATAACATAACATAACAATTAAATTAAATTAAATTAAATTAAATTAAATTAAATTAAATTAAATTAAATTAAATTAAATTAAATTAAATTAAATTAAATTAAATTAAATTAAATTAAATTAAATTAAATTAAATTAAATTAAATTAAATTAAATTAAATTAAATTAAATTAAATTAAAATATAAAATAATATAAAATAAAATAAAATAAAATAACTGTCCTGATCTGTGCTTCGTCTGAGTCTGCTGGAGCTGATGTAGCTTACGTTTTCTGATGTTAAAGCCGTATGCCGTCTGTTCGTTCATCTCTTGCATTTCTCTGTAGCCTGAAGGCAAACTGTTTTAGCAGCAGCTCAATGCCGCAGCGGTGTTTGAATGCTAAAGCGGGTTATATTTCCCAGCAGCCCTTCTCATTAGCCGTCTAACATCAGGCTATTGGTTTATGTGTTAACCTCAGGATTGTGTTTGCAGTAATTCTCAAAGATTCAATCACCGGCTCTTATCAGCATCACCCAGCTTGAATTGTTTGAATGAAGCCTGTCGATGTCGTCCTGCAGATTCAGATGTGTCACGGGATGCAGAGACGTGGATGGACACATTTTATTTTATTAATTTATTTTAGCATTAAAACATAACATAACATAACATAACATGAAATGTTTTTAAAAATATTAATAAAAATATTTTTACAAAATAATAACATAAAATAAAATATATTTTAAAATATTAATACCATAACATAACATAAAATGTTTTTTTTAATATTAATAAAAGAAAATATTTAAGAAAATAATAAAAGAATATATATTGTAAAACCTTAATAACATGAAACATAATCTAAAATAAATGTTTTTAAAAATATTAATAAAATAAAATATAATGGTTAAATAAATAATAAAATTAAATATATTTTAAAATATTAATAACATAAAACATAACATAACATGAAATGTTTGTAAAATAATACAAATTGTTTTACAAAATAATAAAATAAAATATATTTTAAAATATTAATAACATATAACATAACGTAAAATGTTTTTAAAAATATTAATAAAATAAAATATTTTTAAAAAGCAATAAAATATAATATATTTGAAAATATTAATAACATATCATAACATAAAATGCTTTTTAAAATATTAATAAAATAAAATATTTTTACAAAATTAATAAAATAAAGTATATTTTAAAATATTAATAACATAAAACATAACATAACATGAAATATTTTTACAAATATGAATAAACTAAAATAGTTTTACAAAATAATAAAATAAAATAAAATAAATTTTAAAATATTAATAACATATAACATAACATAAAATGTTTTTTTTAATATTAATAAAATAAAATAAGAAGCTTAATTTGTATGATTTTAAAGGCGTGTTGGTTCATCCCTCGCCACCTGTCTGCAGCCTGAAGGCAAACTGTTTTAGCAGCAGCTCAATGCCGCAGCGGTGTTTGAATGCTAAAGCGGGTTATATTTCCCAGCAGCCCTTCTCATTAGCCGTCTAACATCAGGCTATTGGTTTATGTGTTAACCTCAGGATTGTGTTTGCAGTAATTCTCAAAGATTCAATCACCGGCTCTTATCAGCATCACCCAGCTTGAATTGTTTGAATGAAGCCTGTCGATGTCGTCCTGCAGATTCAGATGTGTCACGGGATGCAGAGACGTGGATGGACACATTTTATTTTATTAATTTATTTTAGCATTTAGGAGATGCTTTTATCTAAAGTGACTTACAAATGAGGAATACACTAAAATATATTATATTATTTTTCTTTTCTTTTACATTTTAATTTATAAGCCTGATGAAATAATACATTTTGTGAATTTCTCTGTCCTGTAATGTTAGTAAAGCCTGCAGTGCTGAAATCAGCATCAGTCGTTAAAAATCCCATCAGTCGAGTACTGGTTTATAGCTGATGTAAAATAGGGAGGTGCAGCACGTGGCTCTTTAAGAGAGACAGCGAGACGAGCACGAGCTTCTTAACATGCTGCTCAGACCTGCTGCATTCTCCCACTCGCTCCAATCCATTCCCATCATGCACTCCTCTAATTCTTTGTCTCATATTGGCGTGATTTTCTCCAGATGTCTGTGCGAGCAGCTTAACCCGCGCGTGTCTTTCTCTCATTGGTTGCAACGTCTCTTTGCATTAGCTTCAGCCCGGCTCTAAGAGGCTGTGGGAATTTATTGCGTGTCAGCTTCCATTAGAGACACGCGGCAGAATGATTCAAATGAGCCGCTGCTGCTCCTTCCCCATTTCACTGCTTAATTAAAGGCCCTCGTGTCAAGCTAATGGAATTGTGTGATGGCATTCTACACACACACACGCACACTCATATCCATGCACTCACACGTATGCGCGCGTATAAATGCACATACAAACATGCGAGTGCATATGCATGCACACACATTGCAAATCACGTTGAATGGGGGGGTGTCGATCGCAAAAATCACATGAATACTCATGAACACTCATCACATGCACACATAAACACTCATGAACATGCTTATGCATGCACACACACACACACACACACACACACTCACAAAATTACACATGCATGCATACACACACACACACACACAGGAACCAGATGAGTCCTCTGCACAATCTGACTTTGCTGCAGCCTGGAACTGAACTGCTGGTTTCGTCTGGTCTGAGGAGAACTGGCCCCCCGACTGAGCCTGGTTTCTCCCAAGGTTTTTTCTCCATTCTGTCACCGATGGAGTTCTGGTTCCTCTGGCTTGCTTAGTTGGGGACACTTAATTTCCAGCGATATCGTCGACATGATTGCACAGACACTATCTAAACTGAGCTGAGCTGGATGATGACATCACTGAATTCAATGATGAACTGTCTTTAACTGAAAACTGAGTGTGTACTATTGTCCTTCTGCATTATTAACACACTATTTTCCTAATTAATGCTGTTCAGTTGCTTTGAAACAATCTGTATTGTTAAAAGCATTATATAAATAAAGGTGACTTGACTTGACTTGACACACACACTCGCGCGCACACACACGTATGAGCATGCAGACACACTCACACATGCATGCATACAAAAACACCCACACGCGTGCATATGCATGCACACAATCACACACACACACACATGCATGTATATGTATGGACACACTCACATCCACACACATATGCATGCGCACACTCACACACACACACACATGCGTACATTCACACACACACACACACACACACACACACACACACACACACACATACATGCGCACACTCACACACACGCACACACACACACACACACTCACACTCACACATATGCATGCGCACACTCACACACACACACTCACACTCACACATATGCATGCGCACACACACACACACTGTCTCCAAACTATTAGTCCAAACTCATGCCGCGAGTCCTCAGATAACCTCCTGACCTGCAGAGCGTCTCAGATACGGCCTGTTTATCTGAAGCCTCATTGACAGATTGATTGTGTTCCTCTGATGGAAGAACATCCGTCTGCTGCTGTCCCACTGGAGCGAGATAGATTCCCTAACTTAACTAAACCGGCTAACTCTCTCCAGGGCCATTAGGTGACCCGTGGGGCCCATTAGTGTTGATCCTGATGACTGTGGTGTGTGTCTGTGTGTCCGCAGTGCCCAGCGCTCCACCGCAGAACATCTCACTGGAGGTCGTCTACTCACGGGTGAGTTACGATTCAACTGCATTCACTCACTATTAACTACGAGGCAAAACACAAGAGACATGGACTCAGCTCTCAGCTCATGGATGTCAGCTCTGTATGGTTGGGTTGAACACACGTGTGCGTTCACATTATGAGGGAGTGTGTGTGTGTTTATATCAGTCAGGCTCGTATAAAACAGCACTGGAGCAGTCAAACACACGTTATTTTGGTCTGAACTGTAGAGGACTGGATTGACTGCAGCAGACTCTCAGATGTCTGTAAAGTGAGCAGATCTGTGTAAAACACACGAGGTCAGAAACACTCCTGCACTGAATTCATTTCAGGTTCAGCACACACACGGGTGACAGGATTTTACACGCGTGATCATATCATCATGAGGAGCTTGCACGCTATCACACATTCATTAGTATATTTTATTATAATATTATGACATCATAGTAATTAGCCTTTTTAATATTTAAAGACATTTTCTGTTGTTTTCTAAGAATAATTATTTATAGGAATATTTTAGATTTTTATATATTATCAATTCAATTCTTATATATATATATATATATATTTTAAGTTATATTATATAATTACATCATTATATATATAATGTGCTATACTATATAATAATGGTAGTATAGTAGTATAAGTATTTATTAATATATAAAATTAGCTTATTTTTTATAATTATATTTTAAATATTTATTTTTAAATAAATGTAATAATATTTTAAATTAGCCAATATTTTCATATTGTCCATTTTTATTTTGAATTTAGTTTAATTTATTTTGTTATTTGATTTTTTTTGTCATTTTTAATACTTTTTTAAACTCTGTTTCTATTTAACATTATAAATTTTTTTATAGTTATATTTTAAATATTTATTTTTAAATACATTTAATAATATTTAAAATTTGCTATTTTGATATTGTCGATTTTTATTTTGAATTTAGTTTGTTTTATTAATTTTGTTATTTGCTTTTTTTGTCATTTGTATTACTTTTTTTACTAAATTAGTAACTTTAGTAATTCTAATGAAACTTATTTGTGTTCAGTCAGTTACCAATGCAACATTTCTAATTTACGTTTTAGAAGTGTAATGTTTTCATCTAATATTTATATGTGATTTTAATCAGCTTAATTCCAGGGAATAATGAAGCTGCTCTGAAACAATCAGCAGTGTATAAAGCACTATAGAAATAACGGTGGCTTGACTAGTTTTGGTTAACAGGGTTGGTGTAGCGTGTCGTCGGTCTTCTCTGGATAACGTGTGTCTCCTCTAGTGTAACACTGTGTTCTCACACTGAAATGAGCTGCTTTGTCTGAGCGGCCCGATAACGGATCGTTTATGTCAGGAAATTGGGTTTCATTGTGTGCCACGGCGCTTCTGCCCATCCAGAGACCAACAAAAGAGCCCAGAATGCATTGTGTCCGTCTGACGCTCTGCAGAATGATGATTGTGACGTCAGATTGACCAGCAGCCCGTCTCTATCACACATCAGCTCAGCTAAATCATCAGCGGCTGCGACCCTGACGCTAATGATTCTCTCTGATATTCTTAAGAATTAAATATGAATGCAATGGCAATGTGAGACTGAGACATTTGGTGTGAATCCACAACTATATTTCACAAAGCTTGCTCTTTTCTTGCCGGCAGAGCCACAGCGATGCATCATGTTCAGCAGGGTCATTTCCAGGCGGAAACATTTTCATTTTTCACTGGAAAATTATACTGTCTATTTGTGCTTCATTTGCAGCGCTGCTAGTGGTTATTAATGTGTGAATCAGACGGATGGCCTCTATAAACTAATACAGCCGGCGAGAGAGAGGGCAGGTCAGAGAGCCGCGGGACGCTGCAACAGTGACTGCATCTTAAATATTTATCGATTTCATGAGTCGTTAACTCGCTTTTCTTTCCATTAGGATTCAGTCAAGAGGCTTGTTTCATCTGATGAATCAGAGTGATGTGGAATATGAAGTCTAGCAGATTAATTATGTGCTTCAAAACAGAGGAGAGAAAGTGGATGACAGTGTAATAAAAGACTAAGACAATAAAAATAGTTGACTTTATATTTTTTTGCATTTCACGTCAGGAACGCACTTCCACATATATGGGATGTGAACGTCTCTGTTTCTGTGAGGTGTGTTTGTTTCAGTGATGGTGATGCTGGAGTTTATGGTCAGTTTCACAGCTGACGGACGGAGGAGTGTTAATAAAGCAGCTCCGCTCTTCTGCTTTCTGATGCTCCGAGCTCTTATTAGCGGTCTCTGTCGTCTGTCTGGATCTCATCAGGATAGATGTCATATTTCATCTGATGTGAATGAAATGAGTCTGTAGGGACTGAAATAGAGTTCGTTCAGTGAGTTGATCTGCTGTGTGTGTTCGTTTGAGCTTCAGCAGGAAGGTCACGAGGGTCAGAAACAAACAAATATGCAACAGTAGCATTATTTATAGACTATCTGAGTTATTTATTCACACACACACAGATCCGCACAGCAACACATTGTTTTGAGTTGATTCTCGCTGTTTAACACGGGATAATTAACACCATGATGGGGCCAAAATGATGATCCTGAACTACTGCCATAATCACACACACTCACTCACACACACTCACACACACTCACACACACACACACACACTCTCACACACACTCACACACACACACTCACACACACACACTCACACTCACACACACACACACACTCACACAGACACACTCACACAGACACACACACACACACTCACACACACATGGGATGAACGTGTCGCGTTGGCAGCAGTGCGGTGTGAATTTTAATTGCTTTATTTGCATGTTAACGGGCAGATGGCACAAGCACAGTCTCACTGAGCCACCGAGTGTGTGATGGCATTCCTGCACCGTGCAGTTTATATCTGTTTCAGGGCCGTTTGTGAAGGTTAATGAATCTGTGTTTGGGAGTTCTGCTTTGGATAGAGAGAGAGAGAGAGAGAGGGGGACTGTATACTAGTCCTAGTAAAGGTTGTGTTGACCCGCTGATGTTTCTCATCAGTAAGTTGTGCTCGTACTGAAGACCCTGTCTAGGGACGCCGCTGGGGGGGGTTAGGACGATTCTTAGGGCCCACGCACTTTTGGGGCCCCCAGAGATCTGTTTCATTAGTAGTAGTAATGTAATATAAATTATAAATGTATCTACCAAAGAGTTACAAATAAAACTAAATTACGGCTTATTTCTGCATTTCCAGCAAAATGATCTCCCTCCATTCACTGCATGGTTTCGTCCCGTCCTGCGTAGCCTAGAGTCACGAGCGAGATCAGATGGTCAACTGTCAAATTAGAGATGTCTTCGAGTTCGGGGGGTGGGGGGGCAAACAGAGCCGGACGGTTTGGTCAGTCGCACTTTTAAACACATTTTAGTTTTGCTATAGAAAATCTACAAATTCACAATCTGATTACACAGAGCAGCAGCAGGAGGCGCGTGAGGTTGTCATGGCAGCCAGATACACTGCACGCGTATTACGGCTGCGCTTCTGTTTCGCCACACTAAACTTAGCAATAAACACGCTGAAAATAATACACAATAAACATGTCTGTCAAATCGATCTCAAAGGAGGCTTTTATCAAGCAAATAAAGGAGTGAATTACTCATCCACTGTTTAAAATAATACTTTAGCTGGGTTTCCGCAGGCAGGGTCACAATTATCTGCAGTGTGTGAAGCTAAAGGTTTTTGGGTTAAGGTTCATAATGTAGAAAATTTTTAACATTGTGTGCTGTATATATGCATAGGTAGCTAGCAAACGAGGAATACCGCTGTTAAGCTAACAGTCACATTAGCTGAGTAAGATCATGATTGAGAGATGGTGGATACTGCTGGAAATGCTGCTATGGGGTATCCTATTTATTATTTTAGTATATTTTTGTTTGCCCCAGTGAAGCATTTCTATTAATATAACTGATTAAGTCGTCAAACTCATTCCATATCAGCGGAATAGTGTGGTACAGAAAGTCTATGTCCATAAAGCAGGTTCTGATGGGCAAAAGTAATAGCAAAAGTAATAGGTCAATATTATTAAATTGCAGACAAAGATTTTGAATAGCTAGGCTGGCTTGTACACTATATTGCCAAAAGTATTGGCACCCCCTTCTTATGAACAGGTTTGACTACTTCAGTCATTTCCATGAGTACAAATCTTAATGTTTCAGCATATAATGATATTCTAGGGAATTGTGTGCTTCTAATTTTATAGCAATAGTTTGGACAGGACCCTTTTCTATTCTAACACAACAATGCCTCTGTGTATAAGGCAAGGTTAAAGAAAAGATTGCTTGAGTCAGTGTGGAAGAACTGGACTGTTTTGCTGAAAGCCAAGTCCTTATCCCAGCTGAACACCTCTGCTGTGACTTTAAATGCAGACCTTGAGCCAAAAACTCATCACCAGACACCTGTGACTTATATGGACAAATGTATTGGGACACCTCCTTCTTTAGAACAGAAAAAGTAGTGTATGTTTGGTGCGGAAGGGGGCCCAACCTCATATTCTTTCATAGGGCCCAAAATTGCTAGCAGCGCCCCTGACCCTGTCAAATCAATGCATTTCTTCCTCTTCTTTACTGAACAATGAAATGCCTTTTCCTGCATAATTGATAAGCATCCATGCAGAATACAGATGGCTGGAAAGGTCTGAACGGCAATAAAAATAAGTGGAAGCAGCAGCAGTTAACATGCATTTAAGAAATCAATGCTTTTATTCATGAAGGACTCATTAAATTGATCAAAAGTGACAGTAAAGACATGTATGATGTTACAAAAGATTTCTATTTCAAATAAATGCTGTCCTTTTGAATTTTTTATACATCAAGAAATCCTGAACAGGGTTATTGTAATTAACTAATTAATTATGTTTTTTTTTTTTGTTACTTGAAATAAATTCAACTTTTTAAAAAAATTGAATAAAATGAAATGAAATAGATTTGGGGTCGGGTTAGTTATCTAGATATTTCAGCTCGTTTTCAAGGCAGCATTTCTCAT